GGAAAGGTCCTTTAAACTTTACAAGCTAATGTTTAATCTTTTCTTGTTCTCTTTTTTTATTTTCCAAAAGAATTTGTGCCTGAATTTTGGGAGTTTGGCTTGTTTGCCTGCTGTAGCTTGATCTGGCTGCTGGGTGAAGGTTCTTTTGTTTATAGAGATTACTCACATGTTCAAGGAAATGATAGGAAACAGACAGACATGCTTTCAGTAGCCAGGAAAGGATACAAAGGGGGAGGTTCTCAGGGTCTGTTGGAGCTTGCTTGCTTCACTCTTGACCACAAATATAAGATAGTACTCATACATATGAAGATGAGGTTTAAATGATTTATCAGTTAGTAAAACTGAGCAACATGTGAACACTACACATTCTAATATGACAAAGGTTGGTTTTATGAAATAAATTTTACTAAGCAATAAGCCATAATGTAGAAAAATACATTTTACCTACAAACTCAATAAACAAGAAACAAAAGGTTCGTTCATATTTAGTGCATAATTACTTACTGGTAACTACACAGGGGTTCCTAAACTTTACAATTAAGTACTCACATCAAACAACAAAAAAAGAAGCATTCACAAGTTTAAGAGAAATGAATGAAAAATGGTAAACGGTACTTCAACAGTGCAGAAGGGTGGGAAAGAAGAGTCTTCAGAAAACCGCCAAAGAAAAGGATGGCTCCTACAGAGCCGTATTCAAAGGGGAGTATCCTGGTCATTTCACAAGATGAGAAGCATTGACAGCACTGGAGAAAAACACATTGTACTTTGCATCCATTTCCAATATCCAGCGCCCAAAGTCAGTCAGGCAGAGGACCTACAGTGGGGCTGGGCTTACCCTCCGCGTCCCAGACGCAGGGCAGCTCCAAACCAGTCCCTCTCCAGGGTCCTCCTCCTCCGACTGCCTTATGCTCTGCCTCTTCCAACATACCTACATTTCCTTCTCTTTGTTCCAATTGCCCTAACCTTGGGATATTGGGTTTCCTGGAAGTACAGAAAAGGGAGCTTCACGACCCAAGTCTCCCTTCTCTGTACAACCCCCCAACACTTCCCCCAGGGGGTGGTGTGAATTCTGGGGAGAAGCACAATTTGGATCGAGCTGTTGTTTTTTATCAGGAGAATTTCCTTCTGGGCTGAGAGTCTAAAGAGAGACAAATACACATAAAAGTAGAACCAAAGAAAGCAGAAGTATTGGAATTGCCACCCAGTGAGGGGGACAAAGGGGGACAGTGCCTAGTTGAGTTCCTCTGGGACTGAAGCAGCCTGGCCCAGAGACTCACTAGGAAAGAACACCCTTCAGCAATTCTCCCAAATCATTACCTCCAAATCTCCCTGGAGCAGGGCATCATTATGTACAGTAGCAAATGGTCAGTATTAATATCTTCAGGCCTGTCATGGATAAAAATACTATCCTTTTAATTCCATTTTATAAAAATAGGAGTAATATTCAAAACAATGATTGTCTATTTTTCTATTTATTTTATATAAAAACATAAACAGCTCAGGCGAATTTTCAATCCTTGTGCACACTTTGTATGAACTGCTGTCTATTATACCTATATATATTCTTAATATATATATTTGTAATATATATATATATATCAATAATTGGTCCACAAAGTATATCTGTGCATTCTCTAGTGCTTTGTAAAAAGAAAAACAATATTATTATCAAAATATTCATTTAATGGCTTTACTTCATACATAAATACATGTTTGGATAGAACACATGAGAGATGACTGTTCAGTCAGTTGGGAAAGTGACTTTTCATAGTGTCAGGATTGTATACACAGGGTAGCTGGTAACTCATCGCTACAAATAAGCTATTCGGCGTCCTTTGTTTTTAACCCTTTGTTTATACCTTTTCCCTAGGACTGCCGCCAAGTATTTCTTGACAGCCATTTGTTTCCGGTAGCGGCTGTAGCTGTCGGTGAAGATTCCGTCTGAGTGGCGCTTGGAGAGAGGCTCTGAGTCGTCCTCCGGGCCGCCGCCTAGGTTCCCACTGCAAGGAAAGGAGTCGGGAAGAGGGTGGCGGGGCGGGAGACAAAGATTCAATAGCTGTGGGGAGCAGGCGGGCCCCACCCCACGCGGGAGCCATCCGGGAAGGCACGGCTCTCAGGGCCCACGGCGCCGCCTTCCTCTGCCAGTAAGCAGCCGGGGGAGGGAAGACTGTGATGGAAACCCCTCACTCTGCCCTCCCCACCAAGGATTTGCCGGCATCACGTCTTTACAGAAGGGGCCCGGGACGAGGTCCAGGCCAAGGGCACGCGCGCGATTCACGCCTAACCTGTCTCCAAACGCTGCCCTTAGAGATTTGACCATCCGTGCTTTTGCGCTAAATTGTCCTAACTGTTCCTCTCACCCCCCACGTAGAGAGAAAATAACCAAAGAGCCCCAAGTGCCACGTTGGCTGCTGCCTGGGAGTTTTACATCGATCCCTCAATTCCTAGTCAGACTGGAGCACGCCTCCCCTTCCGCACGCTAAGTCGAAAAACGTGATGATAATAATATAAGTCGACAGGCTGTAGGCAATATTTTTCATCGCATGAATTATTCATTGCGAAAAATGTAATCTGTTTCCCCATGGGCTTTATTAAAATGTTGCCTTCTGCTGAGAGATGCTCTACGCAAGCTCTGTGCTCTGGGTTTGTCTGGCACGCGCAAAAGAACTGTTTCCCTAACTGCCCAAATTTGAAGATTTGTTGGTTTCGATTTGAATTTACACTAAAAGGATTTTTTTTTAAGTCATGCTTAGAGGAAATTATAGCAAATCATCCCGCGAAGCTTGAAGATTTTCAATGACTTGCGGGAGGGAGGGGGTAGTTTTTCTTTGTTTTTTAAATTCAAAACGGATCAAACTCCCCGGTTTCTCCGCCCTCTCCTTGCCTCTGCCGCTCAGAATTTGTTCACCAAACTTAAGGTGCCACATCCGAACCTACCCTGCGACCGCGGACTGGTCCCGAAGACTCAGCGGCGCACACGCACCTTCGGGCCCACGTGCACGCAAGGACGCAGAAGCGGCACCGCCCACCCCGCGCGCGCTCGCACGGACACCCACCCCGGAGCGCGCGCGCAGTTCTGCGCCGCTTAACTCTTTCGCAAACTCTTACCCCAAGCCCTTGGCCAAGAGCGTCTGCAGGTATTTCCTGGCGGACAGCTGGTCCAGTACTTTGCGGTAGGCCTTGTTAAGGATCCCTTGGGCGACATCTCTAACGGGGAGGCAAAGTACGCGCCCAGGGTCACTGATCGTGTGCCCCCAAGTGGCCGCCCCAGGCCCCCAGCTGGGCACGCACGCGCCCCGGCACTCGGGGAGGCTGACGACAACCCCCTTGATGACAAACAAGACGCTGGCACAGAACTTGCAAATGACTCTTTGGGGAAGTTCCCGCGACTGACAGCGGAGAACTGGAGTTCGCCCTGCCCTCCGGGGCTGGCAGGCAGGGAGTCTGGCCCGGGCGCGCACTCACGGCCACTCCTTAGGCCACAGACCTTTTGGTCCCACCCGTCTCTCTGGTCCATACAGACCGGCCCGCTACTAACTTTCCGTCGCTCTCGCGGGTACCAGCCAGGAAGAAGAGAGGCTTGGGGGTTTTTATGAAGAACATCCTATTCTGTGGGCCACCACCCTGCCCCTCCCGCCACCTCAGTCCCGGGCCCCGGGCGGAGGCCGCGCGGGTGGTACCTCTTCTCCGAGGGGTAGTAGAGCGCGTAGGCGTCGCGCAGCGCGGAGGCGGGGCTCCCCACGCCCGGCGGGTCTGAGTCGTAGAAGTCCTGCTGCGGGTTTCCGTCCTCGTCGTACGCTTCGTCCTCCGGCCTGCCGGGAGAGCCGGGGAAAGAAGGAGTGTCAGTACAGATCCCTCCCCGGCTCCGCAACGACCCACAGAAAGGGGCTCGCACTGACTTTCCTTCTTCCTAAAGGTCCCCACGGATAATTGCCTCTTCTTCTGGGACAGGGGAGGGTCGGGAGGGGGAGAGGAGGGCGGTTGAGGTAAGGCTTTAGAAAGTACACCCAACAGAAATTCCTCACCCCTCCAGGCGGCTCTCCGACCCCTCCTCTTTGTGGGTGAAGAGTCGCCCTGCAGGGCCTGGGAAGTCGAGATGTCTATGCCAACCTCGTACACCTGGCCACCAAAAAGGACCTGCCCCCCTACGGGGACCTGGCGCCTGAGCCACCCCAAACAAGCAGCCACGGGCGGGGACGAGGAAGGTCCTCAGAGACAAGACGCTGGCCGATGCGAAGACCCGACTGGGGAGGCCCGGAGCGATATACAGAGGGAGGGTGGATGGGTGGGGTGTGCGGCGGCCAACTCCGCCGCCACCCCCACCTAGCCTCTGAGCCCAGGGGAGCCCTTACCCGCGCAGATGTAGGTCACGGAGAACCTCCGGCTTCTATTTTGGGCGGGAGAGGATTTGGCAGGAACATGAATAATAGATGCTCCTAAACTTAGCCGGTTTGGCGGCGGCTCATTCTGTGTGGCATGGCCACGCGTTCTGGTGCCTCGCGCCCAGGGAAAGTGCCAGGCACACGGGACTTTGAAAATTGCTGGGAGTGAAATGGGGCTTTTAAGTCTACTAAATAAATAGTTCGCGCGAATCTGTTGGCGATGTTGAGGCGGCGGTAAGGGAAAGGGTCAATAGGGGACCAAGAGCCAACTGGAGTGCCGCGGTCTTGAAGTCGCCCTTCCCTACTACCTCTGTCCTTCATGTAGGACGGGGAGAGGTGGGCTAAAATATATAACCCCCTCGCTTTGAGCAGAGCAAGTAGCGCTCTCTAGTAGGGGTAAGAGTCGTACTTCGTTAATCTGCTCGCCTTTCCTCCGTCCCCGGATTGGTGAAGACAAGGCAAGCACAAGTCTCCGTCCGCCCCGCACCCAGCCCTTCCTCGGCGACGTGCCTTCTCTATATGGCCCAGCTTCCCAGAGTCCCCGGGTCTTTCTGGCCACTTCCATCCCGTGCCCAAATGCTGGAATCCTTATATTGAAGCCAGAACCCATTTCTCCGGCCAAATCAGTGGTCAGTGGCCCCTAAGGCGACCGTTCTTGGGCGCGGCTCGGAGAAGCAGCTTTGCAGGCAGAAGGCGCGCTCCTGGCTGCAAGGAGCCGCGTACACCGCGCGGCGAGGACGCTGGGAGCTACTACGGTCCGCTGACCGCCCCGGGACTTTGGGGCTGCGTAAGGAACTCATCAGTGTCAACCGATTAGAAATCAGGGGTTAAGAAGAAAGCCACGGTTACTCCAGCCTCTGGCGGGCAAAGTTGTCCAGGTCCTGCCTGCCTGCCGGCTTTCTCTTCCTCTTTCCTTGCATCCGTTTCATCCGTTTCTCCCCCCTTCCTTTCAGACTCATTCTTGTTCTTTCTTCTCTCAAATCGCTTTTCCTCAACCATACCCGGCCAACACTCTCCCTCCCCAAGACAGTCTGAGACTCACATTGCAGCTGGAAAACGTATCACTTAAGAGAAAGCTGTTCCAGGGGAAAGAATTCGAATTGAAGTGAAAGGGATATCAGAGGAGAGAGAGGGAGACCCCGCCCCGATAGTCCAGAACACGCTGTAACAAAGCAAAGTCCACGGGAGCTTCACGCTCTACCCTCCAACCTGGCTGCAGGCACCAAAGCAGAACTTCTCCTAACTCAAGCTAAGAATAGGGAATAGAAGTCAAGCTCGGGGCCCGGCCCTGCCCCCTCCCGCAGGCGGGGCTGGGGGAGGGGAGATTTCTCCAGCCTGCTGATGCTCCCTTGCTCAACCCGGGCCCCTTGGCTGCGGCGGTCTGGGGGAGGGGCACGGAGCGGCACTGGAGCCTGCCCGGCCCTCGCGCCGAGCCAGGGCCACGGCCAGGGACCTGCGGTCCGACCCGGGCTGACAGCGGCGGCGCACTGGGAGCCGGTGGGAAGATGATTGTAGCTGGGACCGCGGAACTGCAGGAGGGAGACCACGAGGAAGTGTTGGGGGAAGCCAAGCCTCAGCTCAGCCCGGGCAGCAAGCACCTACCTGATTCCAGGGAACCGGAGTCCTGCGGTGGCAGGTGAGCAGTAGACGCTGCTGTGCATTATTATCCCGTAGACCAGGAGGGCCAGCCTCGCTCCGCTACACATGGTCATTCTGCTCAGGAGGGGAAAGAGGACACACAGATGTCAACACAGCCCCTGGTCTTTCGCCCTCCAGCCCCAAGAAACTCCCCGAGCTGGGGGAGGGGTCGGCTCCCAGTGTTGAATACCGCTTAATGACAGCCCGCGCGCGCCCTGCCACTTCCCTCTCTCTATAGTTAGAAAAAATATGTATGTATATTCCCGGGGCCCAATAACTCGCCAGACCTGGTGCGAAGGAAAGCTAACTCATACCCTGATGCTGGTCAAAGAATCAGCAAAGGAGTCATTTGATTAGGGAAGATATTTTCCCCTCACCATTCAACTCTTACCGCTGCTAGGAGAGGCTTTGTTGCCAAGTAGGACGGCGGGCAAAGGGCTCCTCCAAGTTTCTGCGCTGGAGTCACAACCCAAGAGGCATCACCGTCTGGCGTTAGTGTCTGAGGAGCCGCAGGAATGAGCAGCAGCAGCAGGAGGAGCTGGAGGACTTGTTTGCTGAGGCCAGTATTCTGTTCAAAAGTTTGCAGACGCACGGAACTAGGAGGAAGCGTGACAGGGAGAGAAGGGGGCGAGGAGAGAGATGTAGAAGGGAGAAAGAGGAGGCGAGGAGCTAAAGTGGGGGGTGGGGGACAAAGTGGCCTAAGTCCACCAGGAGAAAGAAGTAAGTGATTAAGGAAAAGAGGGAAAATCGAAGGGGAGGAAGGAAGAGGGAGAGCCGCGTCTCAGCCGGCGTCCGTCGGAACCGCCTGGTCAGGCAGTTGTGCAAGTCGGCAGCGCCTTCTCTACTCTGAGGTCCCTCTGGCTGCGTCTGAAGCTGCGGCTTCTGCTGCTGCTGCCGGTGGTTACTGAGGTGACCAGCCCTCTGCTCCTATTTATATGTGCAGTTAGCAGAAATCTATCTGAATGTGGTTTTAGAAGAGGCTTCCTTGTCAACATCTGTCTGCCTATGGCCTTTAAGTACAGAATATTTTGTTGCACTGTTGCGCTCCGATTTTTATTCATGGAATGACTTCCTTTTTTTTTTTTTTTTTCCAGTCACGTAATGATCGGGTATCAGAAAAAGACGTCAGCATCCTAGTCCCTCAAGGAACATATTAACTATTTTGTGCTGTCCTCTTGGATGATAAGATCCGGAGTCATCGACTTCTCATAAACACCTTTCACTGATACAATCCAATTTTTAAGAAGTGCAATTATTTTGATGGTGTTCAATTTTGCCCATTTCTCAAGGATGGGTAAAGAATTCATACAATTTCGAGGATGGTAAAAGTCATGTTTTTAATTATGTCTCTATGATTTCTCTTTACTTTTCATCAAACCTCAGCAATCAGAGCTCTGGCGTCTAGAATTAAGCACCCTCAAGCTCTCCTATTAATAAATTTAATTTAGATCTCCTAATTTCTTGCGTATGTTCTTTTAGATAGACAATTAAATGTGGAAGTCGTTTTGTTTTTAAAGGGAAGTCTTGGAGGATTTTCAGTAAATCGCTAATGAGTCTGGCTGTCGTTAACAGTCTGGCTTGGAGTAAATTGATTAGAGTCAAAGCGGTGTCCGGAGCGCGGCCTGCGGAGCTGTCCAAGCTCTGAGTGCTGAACTCTGGTCATTGAAACGTTGAAAATTGCCATTGGTTTAATTTTTCACCAGAGCCTCTAAATCTGAAGATTTGGCACTGATACTATTAATGTGGCAATTCATTTTCCAAGTCTCCCCGCTGTTCAGATATGCCCCCTTCCATCAGTGTCCATGATTGCTCTTAATGCTGAGAATAGTCAGACCCTGACTACATTTGAGTAAAGAGCATTCTGTTTCCTGTTAGTCCTGGCTTTTAGATCTCTAGACAGCCTATTTGGACACCTTCACATTTTCTGTGACTTACTTATTTTAAAGATTAGAATTGAGAAATTGTATTTTCCACAAAAATTGAAATTTTAAGAATTTGGGAGTGAGAAATATTTTCTCCTCTTATTTACAACTTAAGTTCTGTTTGGAGAAATACAGACAGACTGGGAAAGTACGAGGATTCCCAGTACAAGTTCACTAGCTGAGGGTTTCTAACGGGAATCCCTCCACTGGGAACCGTTAAATTTTTTTTTAGCTGAAAATGACGTGGAAAGAGGAAAGCAATAAGGGAAGACTAGAGCCACATGGAGGCTTTCAAACCCTTGAGCAATTTAAGAAGATTCCTAAATTTCTACTCCAGTAAGAGAAAATCAGGTCTATTTCTTTTTATGGCTCAAAGGAAATAGACTCATCAATAACCATTAGTGTGCATTTTAATTATTTGAATCTTAAACAAAATTTAGAGGAAATGGCAATTTAGTGGGAATATTTCCTATTATAATTTGGAGCTAACATTAAAATAAGCTATATTAGCTCTGCATGATTTTTCAAAGACAAAATTATAATACTTCTCATTTTGAATGCCTTTCCTACTTATTTAAGATTTAATATTTCCTTCAAGAAGACTAAGTTTTACTTATTCTTGGCCATGAATAGCCAGAAGCTACTGCTTCTTCTTAGTTTATTTCTGGGGATGTTCCAGATTGCCTGCCTGCAAAAAAGCTATGAACGTGGGGATGTATCTCTTTGTCTCCACTGCATATGTTCGCCTATTTATGCTGGAGTGTTTACATGCATGTGTTCCATGTTCAGCTCTGCCTCTGGAGTAAATTCGCACACAAAGAGTCCGCGGGGAACACAACCAGATAATGAAGCAGAGACGTCTTTTTTACCAAAGCGCCCAAAGCTATTACCGACTGTGACTTCCCTGTCTTCCGTCTTGCTTCGCGTCAAAGGTGAATCTGATTAAAATCCTTACTCTTCCCTCCCACACGAATTCTGAAATGAGTTCAATCTGTAGAAATATTTGAAAATTTCCAAGACTCCTTGTACAAATCCACTACTCAACTTTAGTAAAGGGAGCCACCATGTGGGGAGATTGTTGACTTCATGGCCTATCAAAGGGAAAACCACAAACACCATTAACTTTGTGGGGAGGGTGATGGAAGTACTGGCTCTGTGGTCCGCAAGAATCTGAACTGTGCCCTGGCTTACAAGGGCTTGGCCGCTTTCACTCTGCTCAGCTTAGGCACTCAGGACCTAACTCAGCACGGAACTCAGGCTCAGCACTCCAAAATTAACGGCCTTGAGACCTGAACCCATTCAAGAAAGTGAAAAATTAAGCAGAGAATTCATTTTAAGATTCTTGGTCACTGACCTCAGGAAAATCAAGCTTCCAAAATCCAACTGTTGCTCATCAAAATCTAAAGAACTGCCCAGCCCAACCCACAGATGCCTGGGGGAAATCAAGCCCGGGACAGGATGGTTCCACGGATCTTTCTGCTGCCACTGTCCATCTCTGATTAAGCCAGTTTGGCGTCCTTTGAGCAAAGAAGCTTTCCTATTCTCGAAAGTTTTGGCCCTAGGCCCTTGAACCAAGGGATTCCAGGAACACTGAGGAAGGAGAGTAACTAGAAGCTGAGGATTGGGCTCTCAAACTGCTCAGCCCTGCAGTTGCACCCCAACCTTGCCAAATCCTCCTGCGCACAGGCTCTTTCTGCTTTCTATTGGGTGGAGACAAATACAGAGCAACTGATGTCTCAAAGACCAAAACTGCCCCCAAGTGCCCCCTGAGAGTAGTAATTTGCTGTTACCATCGAGGAGCATCCTAACTCAGAGTGTTAACGCTGCTTCCACGGAGCCTTTGTATCTGGGGAGCGGCAAGGAGGAGGAGTGCATCAGGTAGCACTGCTGGGCTAGACAGGCCCATAGCCACCGGACAAGTACTGAGGTGCCCTGGCTGAGGAGGCCGTATTAAACTGCAGCTAGTACATACTAGTTCTTAGCAAATGCAGGCGTCAGTCTGGCTTAAAAGGAGGCGTGGGGCCTGCACCGCAGATCGGATGGACTCACAACTAACCCAGCATTGCTGGGAGGAGAAGGGGAAGAGCAGGGAGAGTGAGGGAACTGGGGCAAGGCAGGTCAAGGGAGGGGAGCCTTCCAATTTTATCCTGCTCTCACCGTTTCTCTCCCAAAGAGATTTTTACATTCTCCTAAGGCAACTGAGGTTAAGAACGAGAGAGAACCCTTCAGATCTCCTATATATAATTGCAAATGACAGGGGAGAAGAGGGAGGGGATGAAGAAGGGACCCAAAAGTTAGAACTTCCAATTAACCAGTAACACAAAGGAATTTTACTCTTTCGGACAGCTCCACCCTGTCCACACAACCTTCGTCCGTCCGGACAAAGTAGAAGGATTCCCAGGCAACAACGTTTCTTCCCAGGTTATGGAAGCTTAGACTGGCATAGACTGGACTAGACTGGAATCATGTCTAGTTCAAAAAGCTAGTGGAACCACGGAAATCTTTCCAGTGGTAGGTTTCACCTATGTCCTCTGAGAGCCGGAGGGACAGAAGGCATCACTCTGGGGCTATGCCTCAACCTACCCAGCAGAGGCTGTTTGGAAATATTTGTTGAAAATGATCAAAGACCTTGAATGTCAACCCCTGATGTATTAACTGATTTTCATCCTATTTGTCCTTAAGACATGAAAACATAACTTTTGGTCTGAAATGGTGAATGCTAGCTACAAGTCAAACTAATACTTGCCTGAATTGTTTTTCCTGTTCACTGGACACATCAGTCTTTGTTGAAGCTTCCAGCCTCGAAACCTCAGTCAACAGTCGATTTAAAGATTGTTTTACAAACTGAGGGTTGATGGGGGGTGGGAGGGAGGGGAGGGTAGGTGATGGGTACTGAAGAGGGCATCTTTTGGGATGAGCACTGGGTGTTGTATGGAAACCAATTTGACAATAAATTTCATATATTAAAAACAAATAAATAAAGATTGTTTTAGCCCTTGAAAAGTTGAGTTTTTATATTTAAACAGGAAGAATATGTCTTGTATATTTCCTGAGAATTTGAATTTGCAGATGGCTTCACAACATTAGCAAATACCTGGCATAGACAAGACTCAGTTCCCTAGGGTAAGGATATTTCTATTACTTTCCTTCTGGCCTAGCTACCCATCCTACACATCCCGGGTGTTCACTTTTTCTTCCATGGTTATGTAGACGTCCCCATTGCCCTGTACCTCCACCATCCCCATCCCCTACCCTCACTGACGTTTTTTAACCACATAAGAGGACATGTTTGCATAAAGCATCTTCATAAATTCCTACTATAAATAATAGTAAATCAGATTGAAAAAGTCTTATATTCTCATTGTATTCATTTCTAGCCACTACTTAGCATAAGAACCAGACTACAGTAGGCTTTTTCAGTGAACAAGCTTGATGCAAACATCCTTCCCCCATATTAGTGACAAAAGTAAATTACAAACTGTATTCAATTTCACTCCAAACTTTTTCTCTTCTGACTCTTCCAGAAAATGTGATGACTAATGACTCACTTCATAACGATTACACCTGTAGGGAAACCCAAATGTTCTGTAGCAGGGCATCATGAGTACCACTTACTGGACTGCCTGCATCATGCCCTTCTGAACTCACTATGAAGTAAGACGCTGATGAGCTTACCCACAATGTGTCACAACTTCTCTGACCTTCAGAATTTAGTGCTTCACACACTCTGAAAGGAACCAGGAAGCCTTTCCAAACTGTATGAACAAAAGCATCTCTCTCTAATTCAGGAACAGAATTGCATGTTCACAGGGCCAAAAAATTTTGTCAGTTGTTTTAAGACAAAGCAGACCCTCTAGAAACAAAAACTAGGATCTAACCTTTGCTGCAGGTTTGGATGATTTCAACTATCTGACATCTTTGGTTCTTCTAAGACCCTTATTCACTGAATGTTTGTTTCTTGGGTACCAAAAATACATACCCCAGACTTCACTGTGTAGCATCTGCCAGATTCTCCAAGATTTCCAGAACATGTCCTCTTAAAAGCCAAAAGGAAGTCTTCTCTCTACTTCGGTCTAAATCCTCAGATCATATAAGGCTTAATTGCAGGAAGAAAAGCATGGAGAGGATCCAGGAAACCCAATATCCTAAACAAGTTTTTGTGACCGCTTTTGCAAATGTTGTAAGGAAGATCTGTGTGCAAAATAAAACAAGGTTTTTATGTGTAAATCAAAAAAGGATATTGCTCTCTGAGTTCATAGCATCCCAAACCTCTGTCCTTTTGGTTTAGACTCAGCCTTATCTATCTGTGAATATATCTGTTTGTAATAATTTTGGAGCCTTTGTTTTTCATTATCCTCATTACTAGCACTTTGTGGTAATGATTATAACACTGAAAAGACTTTTTAACTAATCTTTCTCTCCACCCAAGTATACACAGGCATGATTTTTTTTTAAGTTATCATCTGCTTGGAATACAACTATATTTGCTGCACATTTACTATTTTAAAACTTCAATTATTATTTCTTTATGTTCTTTTCAATTCTTCCTTCCAGTGGGGCTGCATGATTTTTGCTACTCACCAGTTGATAGCAGCAATAATAACTATTTAGTGAACATGTACTGGGCTAAAATGTTGATTACAGTTATTTTGTTTACCTTTAAACAATCTTTTTTTCTAGACATACAATTATTCCAATTTACAGATGAGAAGCTGAGGGTCAAGCGGCTAGGTAACTTACCCAAAGTCACACAGCTTGAATCTCTATAATCAGAAATTCAAATTCACTTCTCAATAATTCCAAACAGTTTTAATGGCCTTAGTTATTATACTGGTTTATGTATTTATTTTCTCTAGAGTTGTTATGAATACCAATACTCATTTAATAGGAGCTTTAATCTCTGGCTTGACTCAACTAAGGAGAAAATGGATTTCTTATTAATTTTCAAATTAAAAATTATGTTTCATGTAATAGGAACCAAATGCTATTAACACAATAAAACTGGTTAAGTTAGACAACAAACTTTGCTTTATAGAATAGATATGCTTCTAAAAATATGTGCATTAATAGTGCATGTATTCTTATTTATATATATCAAATTGTAGAAAAGGTAAAAAATCTTGCCATCCTAAGTCATTATTTAAAATGATTTCATACCTAAGAAGGTAGCAAAAGTTTCAGTGATGTGTTTAAGTTAAAAAAAGAACTTATTATTTTGTAAGATCACCATTTAGTAGCCATTATATCATCATATCTTATTAAATCATCATGTAATTCAATACCACAGAAACCTTATGATTGCCAGTGAGTCAAGTGTTTTGTGAGTCAAATGAGATGATATATATAAAAATGTTTTACAAACAATAGATCCTCCTTCTTTAACAGCAGGACAAGCCTTGTGTTAGCAATGCTCCATTTAATCCTTTTATTGCTCTTGTCAATAGATAAGATACTATTATTCCTATCTTTACTAATGGATAAATTGAGACTCTTAAAAGTGAATTAACTTGCCAACAAAGGACAAAGTCCTGGGTTTCCAGCCCAGGGCTAGCTGTTTGCAAAGTTACTGTGCTGTCTACTACCATTGGCCTGCCTGTTATTACTGTATAATTACCATTATTATTAAAGGGGAAAGAAGTGTCAGCTTTCATAAAAAACATAAGTTTTAAGGCAGTAGTTTGAACAATTTTTCTGGCTTTTTCTTGACATTTTCAAATAAAGGAAGAGGTTATGTGTAAGTATCATTTTTAAGAATACTGTAGGGGCACCTGAGCAACTCTGTTGGGTAAGCATATGACTTGGGCTCAGGTTATGATCTCAGGGTTCATGAGTCCGAGCCCACATTGGACTTTCTGCTGTCAGCACAGAGCCGGCCTCAGATCTTGTACTCCTCTATCTCTCTCTGTGCCTCCCCTGTTAGTGCTCTCCCTCTCTCGCTCTCTCTCTCTCTCAAAGATAAACATTTAAAAAAACATTTTAAAGAAATAAGTAATGAATAAGGTTGCATCCCAAGTATTAAAAATGTGATAAAGTTGTAGCAATTACAACAGTGTAGTACAGGTGAAATAATAGATCAAAGGAATAACTAAATAAAAACAAATAGGTCAAAGTATAAACGTGTAAAGAAATAAACACTATTGTGTAATTCCCAATGGAAAGAATAGAATACTGGGACAACTGACTACCCACTTGGACAAAAAAGAAAAATTAGATCACTATTTCCTATCCTACAACAATATGAAGCATATTGATATGGACTAAATTTTTTAATGTAAATCATAAAAATACTAAGAAAATATATAAATAATTTTAGGATTAGAAAGGAGAGACTGACAATTTGAAAGAAATCCAAAAAGGAAGAGATTGATAAATTGACTTAAATATTGTTTAATTTTCTCTGTTGAAAGAAATACAAATAAAGTTAAATGGCACATGACAACTTGGAGAAAATGTTGCCATTGTTTGTGGAAAAATAAGGAATTCAGGAGCGCCTGCATGGCTCAGTCAGTTAAGCATCCGGCTTCAGCTCAGGTCATGATCTTGCCATTTGTGGGTTCAAGCCCCACATAGGGCGCTGTGCTGATGGCTCAGAGCCTGGAGCCTGTTTCGGATTTTGTGTCTCCCTCTCTGCCCCTCCCCAACTCACACTCTATCTTTCTCTCTGTCTCAAAAATAAACATTTAGAAAATTTTTTGAAAAAAAAAAAGAGAAAAAGAAGGAATTCAAATTTTCAAAATATAAGGAACTTACCTTACATCACCAGGTGCTCATCCCAACAAGTGCACTCCTTAATCCCCATCACCTATTTAACCCATCCCCGCAAACCCCCTCTCCTCTGGTGACCATCAGTTTGTTGTCTATAGTTAAGAGTCTGTCTTGGGGCGCCTGGGTGGCGCAGTCGGTTAAGCGTCTGACTTCAGCCAGGTCACGATCTCGCGGTCCGGGAGTTCGAGCCCTGCATCGGGCTCTGGGCTGATGGCTCAGAGCCTGGAGCCTGTTTCCGATTCTGTGTCTCCCTCTCTCTCTGCCCCTCCCCCGTTCATGCTCTGTCTCTCTCTGTCCCAAAAATAAAATAAAAACGTGGAAAAAAAAATTTTTTTAAAGAGTCTGTCTCTTGGTTTGTCTCTCTCTCTTTCTCTTTGCGCATTTGTTTTGTTTCTTAAATTCTACATGAGTGAAATCATATGATATTTGTCTTTCTCTGATTTATTTCACTTAGCATTATACTCTCTAGCTCCATCCACATCATTGCAAATGACAAGATTTCATACTTTTTTATGGCTGAATAATATTTCATTGTATATATACATACCACTTCTTCTCTATCCATTCAGCTATCGATGGACACTTGGGCTGCTTCCCTATCTTGGCTATTGTAAATAATGCTGCTGTAAACATTGGGGTACATGTATCCCTTTGAATTAGTGCTTTTGTATTCTTTGAGTAAATACCCAGTAGTATGATTGCTGAATCATAGGGTAGCTCTATTTTTAACTTCTTGAGAGACCTCTATACTGTTTTCCACAGTGACTGCACCAGTTTGCATTCCTGCATGAGGAATGCAGTGCAGGGGGGTTCTTTTTTCTACCCATCCTCCTCAACACCTGTTTCTTGTGTTGTTGATTTTAGCCATTCTGACAGGTGTGAGGTGATATCTCATTGTGGTTTTGATTTTTGATTTGCATTTCCCTAACGGTAAGTGATGATGAACATCTTTTCATGTTTGTTGGAGACACATCTTTGGAGAAATGTCTGTTCATGTCTTCTGCCCATTTTTTAAATTGCATTATTTGTTTTTTTGGGTGTTGAGTTTATACACCTGAAACTAATATTACACTGCTAAAAAATAATAAATAAAGTT